GGGGGAAAAATAGACTATCAGGAAATGGTTAGAAATACTGTAATTCTTTAATGTCCCTTCCAGCAGTGATCTACCATGTGACTATAAGGGGGGGGGGGCAGGGGCTGTGATAAGAGGCTGAGGAAGAAAACACCAGACTCCGAAGGCCGTGGTATTCATCCGTTCACCCATTCATTCAGAAAGACTTCCAAAGCAACTTCTCTTCACCAACTACCATGCCGGGTCACTCAAAACTCACTACCATCGAGTCGATGCCAACTCATAGCGACCCTATAGGACAAAGGAGAACTACCCCTTTGAGTTTCTGAGATGGTAAAGGAGTAGAAAGCCCTGTCTTTCTTCCACAGAGTCGCTGGTGGTTTTGAACTGCTGACCTTGTGGGTAGCAGCCCAATTGGTAAAGACTATGCCACCAGTGAACTGGGATGGAATGATGAGAAAATGAGTTGGCCCGTCTAGGATGGGCCAGAGGGGTCGGGATGAGCCTAGGGCAGGTGGAGGTCCGGAGGGAGCAGAGTGGGGGCAGGAAGCTATCTCTGAGGGCAGATGAGCTGAGTGAAGGCAGAGCCCGTAGAACAGTAGTTCTCAACCTGCCTCATGCCACAACCCTTTCATACAGTTCCTCATATGGTGGTGACTCCCCCAACCATAACATTATTTTCCTTGCTACTTCATCACTGTCATTTTGCTACTGTGATGAATCTTCATGTAAATATCTGATGTGCAGGATGTATTTTCATGGTTACCAATTGAACATAATTAAACATAATTAAAGCATAGTGATTAATCACAAAACAATATGTAATTATATATTGTGAAATATTTTTGTGTTTTCTGCGACCCCTGTGAAAGGGTCGTTGGACCCACTGGTTGAGAACCGCAGTTCTAGAGAGTTCTGGCCCATGGGAGTTTGGGATAATTAGATTTTTGTCAGAATTAGACAAGGGGGAACAGGTAGCCCTTCTGTGGCCCCACAATGAATTATCCAAGACCAAATCTTGCCCCAGAGAGTCCCTGCCCTGAAACCTGAGGCCCCCCGCCCCCACCCCAGCTCTATGCAGCCCCAGTGTGGCTCCCATGAGTGAAGCCGGTGAGGACAAGGACGGCCATGATCAGAGAAAGTTCTGGTTCTGAATTCACACTGGTCCTGAGACTCCTTGGTGGAAGAAGCCAGGACACATTGGGTCCCATGTTTGGGCTACCTGTGGGCGGAGGATTAGCCAGCTATGAGCCGGTGCTCCCCATCAAGGCTGCGCCTGCCCGATGTGGCGGCCTCCCTTTCTGCCTCCATCCAGCCCCCAACCCCAAGGGCGAGATGGCGGCCGTCCAGATGCCCCCTCTTCCCCAGTTCGCCAGTGCCATCAGTCAGCCAAGGGGGAAGGAGGAGATGAGGATGACCCGCATATCCAGATTGTTTGTCTCTCCCCCACCTCCCATGATCATGGGGTGGAGGAGGAAAGAGTGGCCTCCTTTAAACCCATGAGAAAATGATGTTTTGTAAAACCCAAACAAAACATGTTCTGACGAAATCACGCCCACTCAGTGTGAGGCTTCGTCGGTGGCTCTTGTGACACTCATTGGTTTGAAGAGGTTCCACGACCCACCCTTCATCCCCACTAATAAGCAGCTTTACTGTCAAGGGAGGAGGACGGGCTGCCACCTTCTCTCCAGTCATTAGCTGCCTTCTCAGCTCGGCCTCTGGGAAAGAGAGTTGCCCTTTGAGCTTGCACTTCATTAGTGGGTTTGTATTCTCAGGGCAGCGCTGTGGCTTCCAGGGCTGGCTCCTGCGTGGCGGCGCTGGCTGTGGACTCTGAGTTCAGGGGGGCCTGCGGTCCGGTTGGATAGCAAGGGGAGGCAGCGCAGAGATGAGAGGACATCAATGGGGGTATGGTGAGGTGGTGGTGGGCCTCCTCTGCTTCCTCAGGTCTCGTGTCACTCCTGTTGGGCCACGATGCTTTGTCAATGGTGGAAGAGGTGCCCCGCTTGTCTCCACAGGCTCTCCGTCCAGGCCTTCTTCAGCTGGGGAATCAGGCAGGTCCAAAGCCGTCAGGTCTGGGGAGGCAAAAGTGAGCCTCTGGGCCCAGGCTGCCCCTGGCTTTTGCTTCAGGACTATATCCCAGCAGGGCCTGCTTTCCGTCTGGCTCTGACTCTCTTCCCAGCAGCCCAGAGACACCCGCGGGGATCTACCTGCCTCCCTGTAACTCGTGGGGGGTGATGTACCCTCCCACCCATGTGACATCTGCCTCGGGAGGGCAGGCTGGGGGCGGGGGGTAAGCTGGAAGTAGGTATCACCCATGGCTGATGGGCTTTGGGCTACATGCTGAGGGACAAGAACTCTGGTGTCCCTTCAACACTTTTCCCAGTGAGGAAGGCAGAGGAGACCCCCACTGGGGACCCCAAATGGAACAAATGGTTTCAGTGCATTTCCTGGAAAGCACACCATTGCCACTTTGCAAGAATCTGACCCCCAGTGCTCTCCCTTGCATACTTCTGAGGCCGCATCACATACGCTGGGGTGGACGAGAGGCTGGGGAGGGCATGGAGGTGTGGGCTCCCCACCTCCCACGTAGGAGGAGTCTGGAACCCAACAAGGGATGTCCTCCCACCTTCCTGGAACCTTAAACTAGCTACTTAACCTTCCAGTGGAATCCGTTTTCTCGTCAGTAAAATGAGGAGACGTATAGGACCCTTCTTTCTGGGATGTTCCATGGATTGAGTGAGATTGTCCATGGAGAGCGCTCAATGAGTGGGGCTGGAATATAGGGAATGCTCAGCCAGTTGCAAACCGTGCTATCCGCAAGAGGTGCCTGTTTCTAACTGTGAGGAGGAGGAGGAGGGTTCTGGCTGGGCCGGGAAGGGAGCGAGGCTTGGCCTGTGGAGACGGGATGGAGTTGAAGGTTGGCTGCGGGTGGAGGTAGAGAAGCATCCAGAAGCAACCCTTGATAGGAGCACAACCTCACAGCTCGAGAATCCTACAGTCACAGAAAGTCCAAAGATGACGCCGAACAGTTTCTGACTTTCCCACTGTTTGACCTCTGGGGCCATGCTGACGTTGCTTGGCGGGGATGGCCACCAGAGTCTTCTGTGGCCATGGCTGCCCTTGTCCTCACTACCCTCACCCAGCTCACCTCACCTTGAGAGCTCTGATCATTGCTGAAGTCCTCAGGGCTATGTGGTAGTGGCCGACAAGGCTTTGTCTTGCTGGTGTGAAACCTACCCAGACTTACCTTTGGTGCCTTCTCGTGCTAACCAAATCCCTCTCATCGAAGGCACGTGCCTGCACTAGACGAATCTTCGCAAAAGCAAGAACCTTGTGGGTCCCACTCTTGAGAGCGTCTCCAGCCCCCGACAAAGTGCTGACACACAGAGGCACTCGGCAAGTCTATTTGCTGGAGAGGCAAAGGAAGGAATAAATAAATGCTGTGTTAGAGGCATTGCCACGTTCAGGGCTGGGTCAGGGAGCACTCCTCTTAGGAAAGAACCAGTCCGTTGTGCTGGGACAAGCCCCCGTAGTCTCCCTGGGGATGGGGAACCTCCCTGATGTCTGCCCTACGAGGGGGGTTCTTGGTAATCAGGGGGATATTGGGCCTTTTGTGGCTCCCAGAGGCACTGTACCCATAGGGAGCCATGCTCCCAGAGTCTTCCCGAGAGGCATTGCCACGCACCCTGCCAAGAGCATCATCTGTCAGGCATTCTCCACCAAGTTGTGTGCACAGCATCCTGCCCGTTCCCTCCCTCCGTTCCTTCTGCTTCAGAGAAACTCCTGGCTCTGTGCATCTGACACGTTCAGAGAGGCTGGCAGTCTTGCCGGAGTTGTTCTTTTGTTCAAGCTGTCTTCCTGTAGCCGGGCCCAGTTTGTTTGTTTCCAAGTCAGTGGTACTCTGAGCTGCCTCTCTCCATCATCAGTGCGGAGCCTGTGTGCATGATCTGGAGGCGGAGGAGAAGAGAAGGAGATGGCCAGAGGACTCCAGTCCTCGCCAGGTCCGACAGGTCTGGCTGGCCCAGCCTCTGAGCTGCCCTAGGGCCACCCAGCAAAACCGATGACTGTCGATTTCTCATTGAGCCCCATCCAAACTCCAGGGCTGCACACGCCAAGGCCTTCTGGTCTCTCCGGAGGTGACCAGATGTCTGGGGAGGTGCCCTAGACAGCAAGCACACTTCTCACAGCGTTGAAGATTGCTTTTGTTGACCAAGGTTCCATCTCCCCAGCCCTCATCTGGAGAGAAGTTCAGAGAGGCCGCGAGGCAAACAGAGGACAGATTGGGGGGTGGGGGGGGCTCAATGCTAACTGGGCCCAAGGGTCATTCTTAGCCCTCATCAGCCTGCTCCAGGGAGTGGCTTTTCCCATGGTTGCGAGGAAAGAGGACTTCATCAGCAGGCGAGAGACAGGGGGCAACCAGGACCACCCTTGCGTATGTAGACTACATAAGTAGACTGTCCAGCTCATGAAAGCAAGTTTTGGAGGAAGTGTTACTGCCAATGTTGTTTACCGGGCGTTCCAATCTTAGGATGGTGACCCTCTGCCTTCACAGAATTCTGATGTAGCAAAGGTTTTCTTTTCTTTTTTTACCCTTTCTTTCCTTTTTTTTAAGGCAAGGAAGTCTGTGCTGCTTATTTGAACTAAAACAAATCAAATCTCCTCATATCTTAAGTGTCTCATACTACCACATGGAATGCAACTTTGTTTTGGTGGAAGGCTTAACCATATAAGCTGAGTATTAGGCTGAAAAATACTCTTGTTTAACCTCACTTAGTTCTTTCATCGTGACATCATCTGTGTTTCTAGCATAATCATCTGTTACACTGGGGCTCTCCGCCCACCGCTGATGGTGTGGGTGTATATATTAGACCCCATCTATACTGGGTATGTATACACAGAGAGATGGGTTGTGCCCCCCGCTTGACTAAGATATGGAAACGCTTTAAAGATGGGGCGAGCACACTTAAGGCTATGATAAATGAATCTTGAGGAGGACTCAGATTATGTGTTCTGTGTTGCAGGCCAAGTGAGCTCAGCACCAAGTGATGGACAACCTGCAGGCCCAGAACCTCGCCATGGACTTGACCGACTCCCCTCCCGCCTTGGCCAATAACAGACTGGAGAATGGGATGGCCCAGCTGATCACCACCGAGGCCTGGAACATCAACTCCACTGACCTGGTAAAGAAGGCCCTGGTGACCGTGCCGGCCCCGTCCATGCTGAACCCCCCTGCCGAGTCACAGAGCGGCATGGCTCTGAAGGTGGCAGCCACCGTGCTACAGCCGCTGTGCCTCGGGGAGAGTCCAGTGGTGATGCCCATTCACATGCAGGTAGAAGGAAGCTCTGCACCCGAGCTCAACCCCAATGCCAATGCCACCTACGTCATGACCGCGCAAGGCCCCGTTCAGCTGCCCGTGGTCCTGGAGCAGCACGTCTTTCAGCACCTCAACTCCCCTCTGGTCCTGCCCCAGGAGGGCCCCTGCTCCTCCAGTGCCATCCACAACAACCTCTTCCCGGGAGCCGAAGACCCCGAGGTGCAGCCTCAGCTCCTGGACCTGAGGCTCCCCAGCCAGCCCCAAGAGCCCACACTGCCCTTTGAAGCTGTGCTCCAGAATTTGTTTCCCGCCCAGGGTGCTCTCGGTCCCCCACCCTGCCAGCCTCCTTCGGGCTATCCTTCTGTGTCCCCCCAGACCTTTAACTCCCCCTTGTCACCGCTAGTCCCACCGGCCACCCTCTTGGTGCCCTACCCTGTGATCGTGCCCCTGCCAGTGCCGGTCCCCGTCCCCATTCCCATCCCAGTGCCTCAGAGTTCCGAAGCCAAGTTCAGCCCCAGTTTCCCCAAGCCACCATCCTCCTTCAGCCTGCACCCCTTTAAAGGCCCCCAGACCCCTCTGGAAAAGGACGAACTGAAACCCTTCGACTTCCTCCACCCCAGAGAGTATTTCCAGCTCAGCCGCCATACGGTCATCAAGATGGGGGGTGAGAATGAGGCCCTGGATCTCTCTATGAAGTCGGTGCCCTGGCTCAAGGGTAGCCAAGGCTGTCCCCCAACCTGCCAGGAAGATACAGTGTTAGACCTATCGCTGGCAACCCATCGGAAAGTTGAGCCTCCCCCAGAGCCCCTATATGACAGCCGCGTGTTAGCAAGCAGCCCAGGCCGCCCCTCAATGGAGAAACGTCCCAGTGGCACGGAAATGCCCTTTCCCATTGCCACATCCCACGCAGCTCCCACCATAATGGAGAACTGCATCAGCAATCACGATGTCCCTGAGATGCGGAGCAAACCTAAGCACACCAGCGGTGAGGTCAAGGCCGAAGATAGCATGGAGATTGTGAGTGAGTCCCAGGCAGCCAAGGTCATTGTCTCAGTCGAAGACGCTGTGCCCACCATCTTCTGTGGCAAGATCAAAGGCCTCTCGGGGGTGTCCACCAAAAACTTCTCTTTCAAAAGGGAAGACTCCATGTTGCAGGGCTACGATATCAATAGCCAAGGCGAAGAGGCCATGGAAAACACAGAGCCCCATAGGAAATCGGTAAAGAACCGGAACATAAAGTTAAAGAAAGTGAACTCCCAGGAAATCCACATGCTCCCGATCAAAAAACAACGGCTGGCCACCTTTTTCCCCAGAAAGTGAAGAATGGCTTTTTAAAATTTTTAGGATTATAATATGGGGGAAGGTGCATTGGTTTTATAAAAAGGCATTTAAAACAAATTATCTTTGTTAATTATTTCGGGGAGTAGTGGGGCAGAGGGGGCGACAAAGCGGCTCTAGAAGCCTGTAAGCTAGGATCATTTTCTTTTTTTAATTGTTGACTTTTCACAAATGAATAAATAAGAGCAACCTATTTTTCAAGCAGATTGCACATTTTTTGCAGCTTTAATGGAATATTGGGTGAATCAGAGGGGGTTAAAAAAAAAGCTATTTTCATTGCCACAAAGTGCTTTGATGATGTAATACCTAATAAAGGGTAGGATGAATATTTCACAATAAATGTTTGTTTGCACTAATTGGCTGCCGTCTTCTATCATTTCTACATATCTTCTTTTACTAGGATGGTTGGACCCCCAAGTCTGTCACTTATAAAGCACTACAAGTTATCTCAGTATATTGGACAAAGAACAATACGGGTACTGTTAGTGTCCATTGAGTCCCTTCTGACCCATGGTGCTCCCTAGGTGTCTTAGACTTCTAGTGCAACTGCAACAGAAGTACCACAAGTGGATAGCTTTAACAAACAGAAAGAGATTTTCTCACAGTTTCAGAGGCTCAAACTCACTGCCATCGCTATCATTCTAACTCAAAACTACACAGTAGAACTGTCCCTGTGGGTTTCTGATACTATAACTCTTTAGAGGAGGAGAAAGCTTCATCTTTCTCCCAGTTTGGATGCCTGAGCATCAAATTTGGGGCACCATCTCTGGGGAGGGCTTTCTGTGGGCTTTGTCTTTTCGGCTTCTGCTTTCTGATTCCTAGATGTTCATATGGGTTGGCATCTTTCTTCCTCCAGGTCTGCTCATTTGATCTCTTTTCTATCTCAGAAGAGATGGACTCAAAACACACCCTGTACTAACCCTGCCTCATAACATAACGAAAACTCGTTTCAAAATGAGATATCCAGTCATAGAATTTATGACACAATAGGCTTTTCCGTGGATTAATTTTCAGAATTAGATTGCCAATTCTTTCTGAAGGCCCTCTGTATGCACTCAAACTTCCAATCTCTCTGTTAACAGCTGAACATTTAACCTTTGGCACCAGCCAGGGACTCCTTTGCCACCATAAAAGGAGGCTTTAGGATATGAGGGGTACTTAAAAAACACCAATTGCACTGGGCAGAGTGGAGCTTTGGTGGTACGCATTTTTCCCGATAGGCAAGCATCCAGCAACTCACTCTGACTTAGTGCACCCAGTAGCATCACCTGGGAAGGTTCTCTTTGGTCATAGTGAATTATTTTGTAAGAGCAGTTTCACTCGAACCTCGTTTTTTGTGATGGCCAATTTAAGAGAACAGTGTGTGGCTGTGAAATTTTGTTTCCCACTAGGGAAAAAGGCTGCAGAAACTATTGCAATGTTGAACACAGCTCACAAGGACAGGTGAAATGTTGATTGATGACCACCCTCATGCTAGATGGTTGTCAATTTCCTGAACAGATGACAATGTTGACTTCTCGTGCATTTGGAGTTCATTACACCAGGTCAGCCTGTTAATCAAGTTTTCTATGTAGAGGTTCTGGAAAGATTGCATAACAGTATGCAACAAAAAAGGCCTGATCTGTGGCAGACGGGGGACTGGTTTTGCCACCATGACACTGCACCTGCTCACGCAGTCATCTCAGTGTGCCAGTTTTGAGTAAAAAACAGCATGCCTCTCTAGCCCCATGCACCTTACTTACCTGACCTTGATCCCTGAGAGTTTTTTGTTTCCACAAATGAAGAGGGACATAGAAGGACAGCAATTTTGAGGATGTAGAAGAAGTGAAGAAAAAAATGAGGGAGGTGTTGTCAGCCATACAAACATATGAGTTTGAAAAATGTTTCCAAGAATGGAATCACAGAGTTGACAAATGTATGAAGTGTATTGGAGTGTATTTTGAACGTGATACAGTTGCTTTGTAAAAAAATTTAAACACACAGCTTTGAAAAAAAATCCATTTTTAAAAGGTGAGGCCAGGTATCCCCCGCCTATACATGGCCTTGAGTAAGTCATTTCCTCTTCTGGCCGCTTGTTTTTCCTTTGTAAAAAGCAGGGCGAAAGAAGAGAGTAGGAAGTCCAAGTCCAAGTTTCTAAAGGCCTTTTCTGCTCAAGACAACTCTTGTATGTGCAATACTGTGCCTGAGCCTTCCAGACCGAGGCCTCGAGGCTCCTAAGCCAGAAGTTCAATGGAAAGGACCTTCATTTCAAGGGCCACAAGAAGGATGAAATGTATCAAAGTCCAAAGTGTTTCTACAGACCACTTGCTGGTGGATTAGGGGACAAGCCAGTTGCTGGTGGATGGGGAGTTGTCTCATCAATTTCCCAGTCTTGGATGGAGATGGTGAGAGGCGGAAGAAAGAGAAGCCCATTCTTTGTAGGGTTGGCCCGTGGTCCTAGCCTTAGATGATTGTGCCCCCTGGGATATGTAGCATTGTTTGGAGCTGGTGCCAGAGTTATGACTTAGGCTGTGATCTGGGAGGTCTGCAGTTCGAAACCACTCACTGCTCCGTAGGAAAAAGACAGGGCTTTCTCCTCCCATAAGCAATTAGTCTCAGAAACCAGCAGGAGCAGTTCTACCCAGTGTGATAGGATCATCATGAGTCAGAGCTGACTCCGTGGCAGAGTGAGTAGAGGAGGCATTAGGGATGTTGACTGTGGAAACAGTGCTACTGACGCCTAGTGAGTGGAGGCAAGGGGTACTGCGGAACACATGCATACGATAGCTTCCCCCCAACCATCACACACACACACACACACACACACACACACGATCCGACTTCCAGAGTCAGGAGTGCCAAGACTCAGAAAGCCTGGTCTAGCTTGCCCACAAGGCACCTGACAGGAGAGCCCAGTGAAGTACTCTGACCTGACAGCCAGCTGAAAACCGCCCCCACCAAGGAGAGACTGGGGTTGTACGTTTAAAATAAGCCTCCCAAGAGGTGGCACATCACACTTGGGTCTGAAGCTGTGCTGGTGAGAGACTGATGATCGCATGCCTGCGTTTAAACGTACGGATCGCTCTTTCACATCTTGCAATTAGTACGGCGCCAGCTGTTCCTGCAAACAGGCACAGGAGGAAAAGCAGTTTGCGAGACTGTTCTTTTATGACCAAGCCCTTTGTGGCTAGGCTGACAGTGCTCGCTGGTCGCAGGCCCATACACCCAGAAGGGATTCTCTTTTCCGTGCCCTTTTCCAGTGTTGTTAAAATGGCTTGTCTTCAAAGGGGCACGTGATGGTAAATTACCAAATCGCTGTTTCGGGTCAGGCTAAGGCGGCCCGCCCGGCGGCACACAGCCAGGCTCTGTGTGCTCAGCTTCAAGATAGTGCAGCGGTTTTCTTCTTTCTTCTCAGTGGCACGGGCATCCTCGGTTCTAATAAAACCCCAAGCTGCCTGGTGCCTTTTCTCGCCGCGCGGGCGCTTTCTGCTCCCACTGCGGTGCTCAGAAGCCTCTTGATTGCAGCCAGCAGGACCCCTGTCCTCACAGTGTGCTGGGCAGAACTGCTGCTTCCCTGACTTGATGGGGACCAAGCTCATAATTTTTCCTTTAGAAGCAAGTGCCGAAAGCCGAGCGACAGAGAGGCGGAAAGGCAGGCATTTGTAGCCTGTAATTACATTATAAACCTTGCGCCACACGGTTCTCTTTGTTGTAGCTGGCAATGCCCTTTTTTCTCCCCGATGGCAGCTCTGAGTGAGTGAAACAAGGCTGGTTCCCTGAGTGCTGAAATAGCAGCAGGTGCCAGTCCTAGCCCTGGGCCCCCGACCCACCCAGCCATACCCACCTGTGGTCTGGGCCCTTCACCGGGGGAGAGGCCGCCGCCGTTGTAGGGATTGGACCTTGGGTTGAGAGACTCGCCCACTGGGATCATGAAGGTTGCTCACAAACTGAGTGGTGTGTTGGTCCCCCGATTGACACCCCAGTGCCATATCCAGTCTTGGACAGAAGCTGGGGTCTGCATGACTAGCTGCAGGCCAGGAATCACAAGAGGAAGAAATCAATGGCTGCAGCTAGAGTAAGCCTAGGGATTCACTATTAGTTCACTTCCACCCCCACCCCCCACCCTTTAGTCCGAAATTGGAAGCTTTTCACACAAACCTGAAATAAAGGACCATCTGCCTGGAATGGTGACGATCCACGTGGAGCTTAGAGATGCTAACATGGGCCCTGGTTGTTTGCCTCTTTGTTTCTTGCGCTCTCTTCTTCTTGATTGAACCAGCTGTGGTCACTTTGGCACCCAGCAGTCGGGACCATCTCCAGTTAGCCCCCTTTCGGGTTTAGCCCCCTCTTCTACAGGGTTCCAGTTCTGTTTTCTGGTGACCCAATTTCCCAGTCTTGTTCAAGTATATTTTGGGCCAAGCCGAACTCGTCAGAATCTTAGAAAATCCGATTCATCTTCAGAAATGTTGGTCTTTGTTCTGATTGGTCAAGATGGCTGAAACTGACTTCGGGAAGAGGATGTAGCCACTACCCTCAAGAAGTTATTGGCAATGATTCTAAAAATGAGGTCCATGTTGGGACCCAAAGGCCAAATGCTCACCTTGAAATCATGAATAAGATGAAAATATGTTTACACCAGTAAAAAACGCCAAAGGAATGCAGAGAGAGAAGTCAGGCAGACAGGCAGGCCAAGAAATAGCCCTATTACTGAGAAGGGATGTCAAGCATGCCACGATCTTCCTAAACTAATAAAACAAAGATAAAAATAAAGCAATGAAGAAATTTTATCAAACAAAATTGTGCTTATTCACAAAGTACATGTAATAAAAGAAAGAAGGTACAAACTGAGATTCCATTTTACAAAGGAAGAAATTCAGGCTCCGACGTTTTTGGCTTTCTATTGTCAAGCACCAACAATTCCAAAATATATTCTTTACAGTGATTTTTAATTTTTACTATGAGGTTTTGAAGCCCAATGAATGAATAGGAATTTGGACCCTTTGGGGAAGAAAGCCAGTATGAATTAGTGATGAGTTTGAATTACAGAAATTTTTTCCAACCCTTTTCAAGCCTGTCCCAGTTAACTGGTGTGCCCAGAACAATTAGAACAATGCTTTAAAGGGGAGGTTTCAAGCTGAAGAGTGGGGATGCCAGTTCTATGAAAGTCACATTCAAACACTGCTAAGACTTTACTCCTCATTAAATCACAAAGTCAGTTTTCCAGTGCAGCTGACTGCCACCGGTCACATGACTGTCATTCCACATCAAACAGACAAAATAGGTTCTCAGGGTGTCTATTCTAATAAAGTGATTTTTCATTTTTTCATTAACGTGATGTTTGCTCCTGTAAGAAGTCATCTATCTCAAGGATGGGAAA